AGCACTAGATTAAAGCCTCAGTGTACTAGTTTCCTGTGACAGTTGTTAAAAAAAAAAAATTTTTTTTTCACCACAAACCTGGTTGTTTAAAACAATGCCATTTTATTTTCTCATGGTTCTGGAGGCTAGAAGTCTGAAGTCCGGGTCTTGATAGCACTGCACTCCCCACAGAAGCTCCAGGGGAGAATCCATTCCCTGTCTCCCATCTTGGAGCTGCCAGCATTCCCTGACTTGGGGCCGTGTTGCTCCAATAGCAGCCACCATGTTCTCAGGGATGCCTCTGAGACACTTCAGTTGGGCTCTTAGGGCCTTTCAATTGGGATCAGCCCCGCTCCTCAGATAACCCAGAATAATTTCCTCATCACAATATCGTAATCACATCTGCAAAGACCCTTTATTCATATGAGATAACATTTACAGGTTGCAGGCATTAGGGTCTGATGATCTGGCGTGGGGGGGTAGTATTTTTCAACCTACTACCCACAGTATTTGCAAAATTCTAAAATGTCCTTGAATCTGACCCACAATTTCTTATTAGAATTTCATTAGCGGTGTCTATCCTTTGCTCATTACCCAAAGCACAGGCCACCTATTTAAACGCTTCTGTTATTATCTCAATAGGTTCCATTTGAAAATACCTTAGGATCACCTCCCCAGGCCAAACTAATGCTTCTTGCTCTCTTTCCTGTTTATCGCCTGGTCTTCTGTGTTATCGTCCATGCAGTAGGACTTCGAAAATCAACCTTTTTCATCTTAAGTGCCACATCCAAACCATCCTTGAGCTCTGCTGGTCCTTCTTCAGTTCATTTCAGATCAGTCCCACTCGCCCTGCCCTATCTCCCATCGGTCCCGTCCTGGTTGTAACTGCAGGGGACAGAACTCAGCTAGAAGGCTGCCAGGCTCTATCCTCTACCTTGGCTCACCTCTATCCATTCTCTATTCTGCTGTCAGAGTGATCTTTCTCCAACTTTCTGAATCTGATCAACTCACTCATCTACTTGCAACCTTTGAAAAGGTCCCACTATTCTTGGATTTAAGTTCGAGCGGCACAGACCGGCTGCTATCTACACCCACAACTTCATCGCATATTTCTACCCCATTCCTTTCGTGTCTCTTAAGCAGCCCGAATTCGAGTCAGCTTTTTCTAAAATATCATGACTTTGTTTTTACTTCTACATTTGGGAACATACTCCAGGTTCCTGCCTTGCCAGGCCAGACAACCAGCCAACTCCGATTTATCTTCCAGAATCTGGCCAAGAGAGTACCTTGTTTAGGAAAGTATCTCTATACACTTTAAACAAGTGAACCGTACAGTGTACTATAGCTCAATAAGGCTATTACTAAAAAGAAAAGAAGAACGAATCGGGCTCAGTGATGGTCCCGAGTGCATTTAGTGTTATACACATCTTCTCCAAGACCCCCTGTGCCTACCTAACATTTCTACTATGTTGTCATCTCCTGGCTCGTGTGACTGCTTCAGGGCACGGCCATGACAAATTAATCTCCACATTCTCCTGGAGTAGGATCATGTCTGGCAGAATGTGGACACTCTGTAAATGTTTGCTGAGTTAGTGACAAGATTATATAATCCTTCAACAGAGCATTACAGGCTTGAAACCAATCATAGTAAGTCCAGCACGTGTTAGAAAGGAGTCTACAGTCACCTGGATGGAAGTTAGTTATATATAATTCACCACTTCGAAAATAAATCACCTTTGGGGCTAAATTCCTACTAGAAATGACCAATACTAAAATTCAAAGTGTAGCCATTAGAATGTAATCGTACTTTAGACAATATAACCCTTTCCCAAAGAAATACAGTCTTTGTCCTCAATTTGTGTTCCAGGCATTAGTGTTCATATTTACCAATCTGCTTACAGGGATGAGTCATCAACCAGCTGCTTTAAGCTGTGTTTAATTAGCTTTAAAGCATTTTTCTAAGAGCTTCTGTCCTTCCAACTTAAGCTCCATTAATTTTCTTGGCTGCCACATTATGGAACAAACAAAGTGAACATGTCCTTTTTCATGGGGCCAAATCATTCATTATAAATACTTATATGCGGTATCCACACGTAATGGAAGAGTAGTCATTTCTTTGCATCACCAAATACAAAAACTTTCATTTTTTTCCTGTTTCCAAAGCTTTATCTACACATGGTAAAGACCAATCCTCACAGGATGTTACTTTTAATAACCAAGTTTTCATTAATGGCCAAAAGAAGAGAATCATTCGTAATTCCGTTCTTCACTATAAAAGAATACAGACCATAAGAATTCTATCCAGATAATGTGGGCCAATTTTAGATGCTCAATCTATTAACTGCTTTCCTAAGAGAGTATGTCTTCTGACATAGGAAACTTGGCCTCCTCTCCAGCGGCTGGCAGGAAAGAGACAGAGAGAAGAAAAGGGCAAAGGACCATTCTTGCCTTCCTCGATCGGGTGGGATGGAGTAGGAAAGAGTCTGAAGAGTTTCTCTTGGTAACTCCCAGTTTTCTACCTGACTGGTTTAGAAGAGATTATATTCTAAATACCCCCACTATCCCACTACAATTTGGTGCCCCAGAACCTTGCTTGCCTTTTTTAGAACTCTGTGATTTAGCTTTTGCTTCTTTATCCTTTCACTGTCTCTCTCCACTGCGAGGATGTAAGCCTCCATGTCCAGTCCCTCTCACTAAACTCAATGCCTTACGCATTCTGGGAATGCGGTGAATGTTGGAAGGGAGCAGAGAGAGTAAAGTCTGAAATCAGGAGGGCCTGAGATGGAAATTTATACTAGTGAGAAAGTTCTAGACAGAGGTCAATCTTGAGTAAAGTGGGGGCAGACAGGGTAGAAGAAAACACAAATCAGCCTCTGCTTCTGGCTGCCATGAGGAACAGGCAGCCTTGGGAGAGGAACACGGCCCCTTGAGCACTCCTAATGCCCTACTTATTCTATTTGGTTTCATTAACAGGATAGCAACAGTATTATTTTTCAAGTAAATATATGCTGCTCCTGTCACATTATGGTTCATGTAGACTTGCTGGTCAGTCGACCTTTTCTAACATTGTTTCTGTGGGAAAATGAGCTACAAATTCCAAATAACTGACTCACCAAGATTTATAATATAACCAGTTCAAATTATAACCTGGTTTTCATTTCAGCTGTCCCCTATTTCCCTCTTCTCTTTCTTTTCATGTTTCTCATTCTCTCAGCTGTCTTCCCTCCCCCGCCCCCCCCACGCTCATGTACCTGCACGCCCATGTGCTTAAGTGCACACACCTTATATTCTCTCGAAATAAGAACATAAACAAACATACCCGGTCTCATATCCAGTTACCAGGTCTCGGAATTCTTCCTTAATCATGAAAATTATGAGTCAGATATATGGAGCTCACACTCCAGTCCAATTCACATGCTCGTTGAGGCCTCATCAAATAGCCAGCTGGTTAGTGTCCTGATTCCAGTCTCTTCTCCTTTCAGTCTATCCTGAATATACCAGTAGCTCATAACTGCCTCTAAAGCACTATTCTGCATCATGTTAGGTCTTTTTCTTCTCACATAGCTTCCATGCCAAGTGAAGAGAGTTTCCTCCCCAAATTCAGTCGAGGATTGCTATATCACAATCCTATCCCACCTTCCCAACTTCACTTTCTATCACTGCAGCCCCAGGACTGCATTTAGATCATTTCTTTATTTCTTAAGCACACACTTAACCATCCTACCTGTGTGTCTTCACTCATGTTCCTTCTCCCTCTGGTCTTCCTTTCTTTCCCCGTCATCCTTTTATGATCAAATCAAGCCCCAGATCCTTCGTAAAAATTTCCCAATCACCCCACGATACAAGGTTCCCTTCTATATTCTTTCTGTGTTTAGGAGAACTCCATGCATTTGTGCAACGTTTTCATAGCTTTTTTCCCATATGTTTCCTAAGACAGCCTCACAACAACACAGTGAAGTGGGTACTGTAAGTATGTACAATTCACAGATAAGGAGAAAGGTTTTCAGAGATGCGAACTGATTTACTTCAGCTTGCAGAGCTGGAATGTGGCAGGAAATTATCTTTAAACCCTGGTCTTCTGATTTCATGTTAAATCCCCCATTTGGCACTTACTATAAACTGCCTTGGGTTGGTAATTATTTGCGTCATTTTTGCGCGGTCTTCCAAATTAGATTATAAGCTCCATGAAGGCAGTAGCTATGTAGAGAACTTGTCCCAGTGCATTATAATACACAAGATGAGAATTCAATAAATATTTGACTGAATGATTCTATGAGTAGGTCAATCCACTCATTCACCCCACTTAAGAAGCTTCTGTGATTCCGCTCTCTGTCTTTTGTCCAATATTTGGATTCTGAGTGCTCACCTGAACACTCTATGAAAAAATGCAATATATCTTGGCTATTTTCAAACTTCTTAACCTACTCATCCCCAAAACAGGCTGCAAATTCCCTTACATTTAAATTCCCCATAAGTTCCTTTGATGAATAAAATGAGACCAGCAGTTATTTCAATCTTGGCCAATGTTGGCCACAAGTTGTAGGAATAAAAGGTGGGGAAAACGGTAAGTGAAGTTGAGTCATCTGGCACACTTGCTGAAAACACATATATCCAGGATTCAGATCCAGCACTTTTTCAATCATGTTTCCTTACCCCAAGTTATATTGAACACATGACCCCAGGGAGCATATTACCCAACGAGCCATTGGCAAAGTGACGCTGGCTGAAGGCTCAGCAACAGACTAGGCTGTTTGTATTCACCATTTGTTTGTGTGGGCACAAGTACTCATGATTGTAATTCATACTGCAGGTGAATTTTCTGCTAGTGACATTCTCCCTGTTTTATAAAAAAAAGGATTAAATATTTCAATATCTTATAATGTTCCGCAAAGAGCTGTTGTAGCATGTGAGTCTGGAAGTCACTGAACAACAACAGGGTACCTGACAGGTGTATTTAAATAGAGGATTTTAGGAGAGGAAAAGAACTTCAGTATTGAGAGCTGAATTCAGAAGGTACTCACAGGCTCTCCCCGTGATCCATCCTGCCCTGGAGCACCTGGAGGTCCTGCTTCTCCCTTTTGATGATAAAAAAAAATAAAACAGAAAATTACAATTTCAGGCATGTTTATAAAATAGTGATATATAACACTGAGTATTAAAGTACCTTAGATACAAACATAAACATTACTTCTAGATTATTATTATTAATAATGTTATATGGCCACAGAGAGTAACTATACTTATGAGTACAGCATAACATATAGAATTGTTGAATCACTATGTTGTATACTGGAGATTGTCTACAGCACTTTAACAAAAAAATGTAACACCGTATGTCAACCATACTTCAATAAAAAGTAAATATTCAAAATTTTGTTTGCTATTTTATCATTTACTTAATATTGAAGAAAAATTCTAGTAAGTGTACAGGATTTTTTAGGTATAATTATAGATTCTATTAACAAGTTAGGTAAAAGGCCTAAATAAAAGGAGATATATATCCTATTTATGGGCAGAAAAACTCATTCATAGTCATGAAGCTATAAAGTCTTCGTAGCATAAAGATGTTAGATGTCTCCAAATTAATCAAAATTTAATGCAATTTCAAAAGAAATCCCAAGAAAATATTTGTTGTAATGTGGAAAAATTATTATAGGATTTAAGTAGAAGAAGAAATTACCAAATGGCCAAGACATTTTAGGAGAAGACCAAAAGGGTGAAATGAATTTGTTCCTGAACACACATCCAGCTATGGGAGTTAAGAATATATACCACCAACCCAGGGAGAGATAAAAGATCACTGGAACAGAAAAGGGAGTCCAAAACTGCCTTCGATAAGTTCAGTATCTGGAAAGGAACCAAAACTGCAACAAATGGTACTTGGACTATTAAATATCATTTAAAAAATTAAAACTGAATAATCACACACATGCACACATAGAGGAAATAATACCAAGGTATGAAAAGTAGAATTTTAAATACTTTTGAAGGAAACAGAAGAAATTATATTTATAAGTTGGGGGCAGAGAAGAATTTTTAAAGTAAAATGTAATAAAACAAACCGTAATAAATTTTGATTATCTGACTGCATTAAAAACATAATGGCTTATCAAAAGATATTTCAAAAGTCTAAAGACAGACTACAGAGTAGAATAATAAATTTGCATGTAATAACAAAGGGTTAGCAAATTAGTACCTAGAATGTGAAAGCCTTCTAATACTCAATAAGAGAAATAAAAAATTAAAACAGATTATATAAAATAGATATGAAATTTAAAAATTCCTTCTGTATTACTGATTTTAACCCTTCCTGACATCAAATAACTTATTATGAAATTCATGAAGTGACTATATAAATATCCAATCTATTATGGCAGCAGATAATTGAGTTAATTTATAAAATAACTCTGATACTGTACACTCATGAGAGTAGGACATTACATTTATTGCCAAGGTAAATGTGACCACGGTTTATATCAATCATTTCATCTTTACTTTTATTTAACTTTTTACTTTAAAGTTGATCATTCTGTTGGAATGGAGCCACTGGATTGGATCATTCTTCTGGATCTATTTGAACTGATCATTCTAATTTGACCTTGCCTCCCAACAGTTACGTTTTAAAACCAAAATAAAGCTTTCATTAAAAATGGAGTTACTTATAAGTTATTACTTGAAATTATTTGAAACTTTAACTTAGTATCCACCTAGTTAAAATTAACACCTAAAATGTTTATTTTTAGGTGACTATAATAACTAGCATAGTTTTTAGTTATATGCCTTTAAAATCCTATGCTTAAATGATTTAAGCATCTTATTTTGTATCCACCCTTTCGCATCCTCAAAACATTTCCCAAATTTTCAGTGTATATAATAGTATCTGATACTACTTTACAATAAATATTAGAGGAATTTATTCCTAAAATGTGTAATATTCACAGGTCAGTACAGCTTTAAACTACCAGAGACAGTGTCATAAAGGGCAGGGGTGGGAAGAAGCGTCTTAAAATACACACACAGACACACCCTCTAGGCTTTTTGAAGCCTTCTAGTCATCAGGAGCCATGATTTTGTTTTCTATTCAGCAAAGTGTTGCATCCTAACCATGTTCTCTGCAATGATGCCACACTTTGTTTCATACCAGAGAAAACACTTCATTCTACGTGAGAGCAAGAAAGCAAAGCAAAAAGCATTTTTCTTGTAAATACTTCAAATGCCTGGGTTGAAATCGGTCTAAGGGTGAAAGAGTCTCAGAATACACGTACTGATGCACATGCCAACGTGGTTTTCCACAGTTTCATATTCCAATGAATTTCCCAAAATTGTAGAAAAGGAATCACAGAAGGAAGAACCAATAAAACCTGGCTAACATAATCAACACTTGGAAAAAAAAAATTCAACCATATCACATTATGGAAACACGGATTCTCTCACTTTCATGAATTCTTGCATTTCATAAGGACAGTGAAATACCAACTCAAGCCAAATAGTTCATCTGGTCCAATTTTATTTACAAACACTTGCTGACAAGTTGACAGCGGACAACAGAGGGAGCAAAGCACAATGTTTCCTGTAAGTTAACCAAATTGGGAGGTGCTGCTGGCCCAACGGTTCTACAGAAAAGCTTATGAAAACACCAAAGAGAAACAAAGATATATGTAGGATTCACTAAGTCTAAAAGCTCTAGGTCAAAAAGTCTGAATAATTAAAGGGATGTGTCAGGACCTAACACAATAGGGAAATACTGCAATGACTATACCTAAACTTAACATTCATATTAACAGTCAGGAGGATTCACCCAAGCCATTGGTGCTCATGGACAGCCCCCACATCAGCCAGCTCAGCTTCAGGTCATGTGGGAACTTCAAAGGGCAAAATTTCAGGCCCTCCTGCAGACCTAATGAATCAGACACACCGGATGGGGGAGCCCAGCATTTGGCCCTTAACAGCTGTCCAGCTGATTCTGACGATCTGAGGACCATGGCATATCTATAAGTCCTCAGGCCACTGACCTTCCCATACCTCCGGGTATTGTCATATGTGACTTGCAAACAAATCTGCAGTTTAGCTCTTCTATATATAAAGGGAGGAGGGCAACTGTCAAATAGTAAAGTAAATGCTATTTACTATAAATAAATAGTATTTATTTATCCCAATAAATCTGGGATTACCTAACTACTCTGCCTGGTAAAAATTTCTCCATTTACTTCTCTGATGACCCAATCTTATTTTTTTCTAATTAGCAGGATGTTTTTTAAAACGTAACTAATCATCATCAAGGATTATCAATAACAAAGTCCCCAAATTATTTGAAGATTTATTTTTATTCCTACTTCATGGACATGATAATACTTAATTATATGAATAAAATATCATCTAGTCTTTATCAACTACAGCAGTGGTTCTTATACTAGCTGCATCAGAATCTTTGGGAGAATTTGTTAGACTACAAATTGTGGACTCCACTCCAGAGTTTCTGAGGTATGGGGCAGATGCTAGGAATTAGCATTTCCAATGGGTTCCTGAAAAGTGCTAATACAGTAGCTTTTGGGACGACTGCTCTAGCCCAGATCTCCAGCTGCTTATACATCCTTTCTGCTCTTACCAACACCTCTCTACAATGACACTGTATATTTAGCTTCACACTTGGCACCGAGTTTTAGGATGGCCAAGTTATTCAACAGGTATGTTGTTTATATAGGTGTTTTCCTGATACACACATTCTTTAAAGGCAAGAAATATTTTTTGTTTTGTTTTGTTTTTCATTACCTAGAACACTTACAGTAATGCTGAGCAGAATGTAAAACTATATATAAGGTTATATGTCCCCTTCTTCATAAACACTAAAACATATCAAGGAAGGAGGAATGAGTTGTTTATTCTTAAATGTTTAATTTCAAGGGGATAAAGGAAATGGGGAAAAACACTGACAGATAAGGTGACAGCATTTGCTGTTGTAAAATTATGCACACTGGTTATGAAAAGATGATGGTAAATCATCTCTACCTCGAAGTGTCCTCTTGATAGCCTGAATAATGTTTCACAGGGAAATGAAGAATGGTTTCTTTTGGGTCATTTTCCATAAAATAATTAAATGCAATACACAACCTGTGAAATTCAGTATTATGATCAGAACCTAATCTGATTATTTGATTGCTTTCATGGTCTGGAGAACCTGGTGTATATATATTTGTTTGGCTGGTAGATAAAGGCACACAGCATGCCCCTGGCTCTAATTTATCATTTTGCTATCCTATTATTAATTTCTTTTTTGATATAAAAGAATTGAAAAAAAAATGGTATGCTAAACATTATTTCTAAATCCAGTTTTTACAGCTAATGTCAAAGATGATTTACTCCACAAAAAGCAGCTATTTTTAAGAAGGAAATTTAACCAAAAACAGACATGTAAAACTTGCATTGCATGTGTATTTCCTTTCATGCTATGGTCTCTGGTACTTACCCACAAGAAACTAAAGAACGGAGAGTAATTTAGTTTGTGGCCATAGCAACCCTCAAAGTCAGGTGGGTGACCATTAAAACATAATTTAATTTTGAAGAGGTTCTTTATTTTGTTGTTAAATACTTTATATTGACTTTGATCTTACTACATGGTTTATTCTTAGTTTGTAAACAAACCTCTAGCATGCCAAAGGATATACTGAAGATCTAAGATGTAGGGAAGCTTGCTTACCAAATAAACAGACAAGAAGTTTGGGAGGAATCATCAGAGGGGAATCACACAGACTAGGCCTTGAATTCTAGCTCTGCCAAGTAACTGAATGCACTTCTGGATAAATTAATTCATCTGTCTTAATCTGACCTTCCTGTTTAAGTGACATTAATACTCCCAATGTCATGGCTTTTTTTTAACAAAATAAATTAAGAGGCTTCATGAAAGTGCCTTGCACATCTCTAGGCACAGAAGGGAAGATTCATAAAATTAGCTCTCCACTGCCACCAAAAAGTTGGGGTCTCAAAAAATCTTTTGTCTTATGATTTGTTTTAGGCTGCATTCTTTCAAATAATACAGTATTTTTATATTTCTACTGCTATGGTTTAGCATTGTTATTTA